ATATATATATATCCTATTACTACTATTACTAATAATATGTTGGTGGTAATGTTATTATTTACCAAAGAATAACACATATGGTAACAGAACAGGAAGACGAGGATGCAAAGTTAGGTCTATTAAAAGGTAACCTACATTTTGTTTGCAATGGCAGTGTCATATAGAATACCTAAATATCATTTTACAATTAAAATGCTTATGACTAACGCACTGGCAATTAAGATAGTAAAAAATTGAAACGTAATATTAGAGTAGTCATGGGAATATTTACGCTCATAAATATTCAATAAAACGCAAGGAAATATTATATTCAATGAGGTGGAGATTTACGAGAACATATTTCTAGTAAGAATTCGGCGGAACATAATGGACCTACGAAAACAAGTTTATGGAATCTAAAATGTTTGGCTTCTTGACAGTAGTCTAAGTTCATAAATATAACAGCGTCTTCAATGCTTAAAAAATGCAATATTGAGTCGTGTGTCTGAGTTTGTTAATACTTGAGATGATAAATGGGTCGGCATCGAATGTTGAATGTCCTTAGCAAAAATACCTTCACAACTCAACGGTAATGTGACTCATGTCGGTATGATAATTGAATATCAATCGAGTCTGCGCTCGATAGGTTTATTGACAATGGGTTACAACAACCGCCATGTTTAATATTTTGCTTATTATATTGCAAAGGAACCATGTTATATAAATATAAAAAAATGTTTCTTTTTTATTCTGATCCTCCACTTTATACAAATTGTTTAATCTGTGTTGTTTTTATGAACCTCAATCCGTATAAATCGATTATCGATTTTTATTGATGAAGCCATGAACACGATGTGACGACACGCGTGACCGCACGCGTATCATGCATGATTCACGCGTAATTTCACTTATCGATTACAGCATTGTAAACTTCTTAAGTGTGTATGCATTGAGGTTGATAAAATGAAATGGTTTGAAGATGAATCTGATGGAAAAACATAGTAGGCTTATGGATAACTTTATCAATAATAAAGATGAAAACCATATTTGTCCTCCTTGGGATGAATCTGAATACGTCCCTACTCAAAGTTTTGGCGTCAAATGTCATAATAAGTGTGTTATCAATCAAATAATCTAATCAACGAACATTTTAAATATAATAATAATAATAATAATAATAATAATAATAATAATAATAATAAAATAATAATAATAATAATAATAATTAAATAACGTTAACATTATTTTCTGACACAACGTTCACAACGTTTCCGAATGTTATATATAATACGGTAACATTAATTTGTGTTTGCTGCGACTAATTAGTTTATAGTAATGGCAACATTAAAAATACATATATTTTCAGTTATCTACTTCCAGAATTGGGTACATGTGTTTAGGAGATTTATACTATCATTACAGATTGTGTCATATATTATATGAGACAATCTGTAATGATAGTATAAATATATAGATATGGTATAATGTTATCGTAATGCGGTAACAAGGCAAAACATATCGAGGGTAAATTGCGAGGGAGTGGCAGCAGAAGCATTGGCTGCTTACTGCGTAGCAACAACACACACAATAACTGTCTTGAGTTACAATGCATAAACGATAGATTCAATAACGTATAAAAAGGACAAAAATTGCAATTAATCGTCACTTAAAGACAGGACACAAAAAAAAAACAGTCGATTTAAGAAAACCTCTCGGATATCATGGATTAGTTTTCTATTATGTGTTATATTTTAGACATACCTTTAATTTTCAGCGTATATCCAACGATGAAGAGATGCTTAGCACGCCTCACTATTATCTGCTCCTTGGACAGTGTCTGATGCTGTAGCTCCAACTGTTTGGAGATCAATCGTGATCTACCCGAACACTATGTTGTTCACTACAACTTTACATGCACCCAGATCAATTATTATAATTTACATAAACATCCCTGGCAAGCGAAGGCAGTGGTATTGATGTAGATTCTTATTCCCTTCTGATAGTCAATGGTGTGATCTGCGAAGCCCTATTAACATAAGTTCATGAATTATTAATAAATATTCTTCATCAGCCACGAGGACGTAGACGACTCGCACGATGCGAGATAGATTACGTAGACGCTTGGTAGAAATAATTTATCATATACTTTGCTCTATATACTACGATAACTTACCGATATTGTCATCTATTAACATATAACCGTGGTCATTGTTGTCTATATCACAGTCATCATTGTCATTTTGATTACAATAAACCTTCTCCCAATCATCATCACGATTTGATATCGTCATAATCACAATCATCACTAGCAATAAAATAACCATCATGATAATCATATTCATCATCAAAATAATAACCATCATCATCATTATCGTCACCAACATCATCATCATCATCGTTATCATCATTCTCATCACTATCAACATCAACACAACGATCACCCTCATTAGCCTATCGTCATTCGAAATCATCATCATCATCTACACAATAACCATCATCATCATCATCATCATCATCATCATCATCATCATCATCATCATCGTCGTCGTCGTCGTCATCACCCTCATCATCATCGTCATCATCATCCTCACAATAACCATTAAAACCATTATTATCATCAACATTATCAAGACAATCACCATCATTATCATTACGGTACCGTCGTCATCATTACAATTAGGACTATAAACATCAGCGTCGTTACTTAACTTAAAAGCCAGTTGCGGATTCAAGAGGAGAGTTGGGGGGGGGGGGTGCGAGCCGACCCTACATTTTTCATAATTATTTTTAAAAAATGGAGAAAAAATGGAATCATAAAATTTTGAGTCCCATTTCCGGCCATCTAGGTGCCATAATCATGAATAGCCCCAACCATGGTGGATGGACCCTCTATCTGTCCCGCCCGGGCCCCTCTCTTTCGAATTACTGGATCTGTGACTGACAACCATCATCATCAATGATGATGGTGACAATGATGACGATCCATTGTCGCCATCATCTTCTTCATTATCATCAACAACAAAATCCATCATCAACACAGTAAAGACCATCGTTATCTTCACCATAATCATCATTAATAATATCATCCTCATCATCAACAACGCAATAACCATCATCATTATCTTTGGGCATTGAAAGCCATAGCTCACGGGCAGTGCTGGACCATCTTCTCTAGAAGCGCCACCCTTGCATCCAACCAATGGCGGGGGAAGACCAGTGTTTCTTATTTAATTCGACAAATATACATTTACAATAGCTAGGCCTACAATACAACATAGTTTGGTCGGTGGGGGTGGGGGAGCTTAAGCAAAATGTTTCTGTTAGAGCAGTGGTGGCGCCAGTGGCGGGAAGTGATTCCCTCCCAGCCCCTCCCCCCTCCCCCGTCGGAGAGAAAAATATGTATTTTCTAAATATTATTAGTACTGTAAAATCGATTAAATAAACATTTGAAACAACTAACTTGTCAATTTGTTCGGGATGACCGCTTTCAAAAGATTTTGAGCGAAGCCCGAACAGGCCCACTTTACTCTCGTCGGGGACATCGCCTTATTATTGCTAAAATCATAACCAACAAATGATTCATGACTTCTTTCCCCGTCGGGGGAGTCCGGGTCCCATTTGTCGTTGCTCTTGATTAAGCATGTTGGAATTAGCTTAGAAAAGCAAGATTTTTATGCAATAAGTTTGCGTACTTTTGTGTCGCATTGCTTCGTTGATTCCCTTGGAAATTCCTCGCTCGGTTCAGCGGATCAACATTAAATTTATATTAAACCTGAGCAGACGGTGTTTGCAGAGGGAGCCCTCAATTTATCATTTGTATTTGCCGATTAAATGTCTGGAATGACTAGACTATAATATCTACTTATGTTAATTGGGGGCGCTTCAATAACATGGAAAACCTTACTTCTAGAGGAAAATTGACGAAATTTGCCCTGATTTAATTGCAGTTCTTTGGATATTTAAAGTACAACATATCATCACAATGTATGCGTGATAAGGTAAGGATCAATATTGCGTTACACTGTTTTTTTTTTTTACTTATGTAAACAGTTTTCATCTTGATAAAATCAAACTAAATTTTGTCTCGAATCGAGGCGTGAACGTAACCAATTTTCATCATTTGACCCAGGCTTATCTGGGTAATGTTATTATCTGAGTTCACCACCTGAATTTGCGGCTGCTTTATATGCTAGGGCCTACATACTAAACTGTAGTTTTTACCTGCTTTCATACACATCGTCAATTTACTGTAAGCCTTGCTTATTTGGAGAAATCAGTAGGTTGCTGGGTATATGCTACAAGAAATGAAATGTTAAATAGTCTCATTTCATACTTCAAGCTAGGCCTAGGGACCTAGGCCTAGGAGCCTAGCTAGGACTTCTTAGGTCTAGCTAGGCCCATCACTCAACTAAGCAGATATCTAAGCCTAATGCTAGTCCTACAGAAGTCCTAGCCAGACAGGGATTCAGCCAGACATTCTTCTACACTGTACAGCTAGGCATAGCCTAGGTGAGAGTAGTCCACTAATTAGACTATTATGAGCCTAGCTACTAAGCTAGGCCTTAAATTTCAAGTTCAATTAGGCCTACGTATGATATTTATTTATATGCCATATGGAGGCAAAGCTCTGTATCGTTCTCCCTGGGCCTGGGGCTGTGCCATACTGAAGTTTTTTAATTGCATGGATGATACCCCAAAAACTACAGTATCTCAAATGTGCATGGGAAAAATGCGCAGAAATCTTACTTTACACAGTGGGGTAGGGGGCTGTGTTCAAAATGCAATAAAAGCCATTGAGAAAGACATTTCCTCCCCTGATGATTTTTAAGACCGCAGTATTCTCCCCCACATTAACCTTTGCCTACAGTAAACCACTGTCGTCAGCTTCCAGTGCATAATCTCTTCATACAAAATCGAGTAAAATCAAATCATCGAACATTTATTTCACCATGGCCATAAATACTGTACATAAAACAAGGCATATGAGGACCAAGAAGTCAAGCTTGTCTCAGTTGGCCCTTTGACAAATTACAAAAGAAAGAAGTACAAAAAAAGAAGCAATAGCAGAATCAAGTTAAATAGAAATTAATAAAATGCTAATATTTTTACAAAAAATGACTAGTTATAATTATTAATAATATATAATTTAATGTTAAAATTAATTGATACCTTGCTTGTGCTTGAATGAAGGTGTTGCAGTTAGTTTGTACCTCAACACTGAGGATGTTCCATTCTAATATTTTAGTACACAAAAGGTCTATTATATATATGATCAAGTATGGCCTACAGTACTCTTACTAAGGGGAAATGGCACTAAAAAATTAAACAAGCTAAAATATAAGGCTATGGTTATTATCCTGATAATTTTAATACGCAAATCCAGTTTGGTGTTAGCAGACTTACCATCTTAAATGTCTAAATGATGTCAAAAGATCAAAACAAAAATAATACCAAAAACAAAAAAACATAATTTAATCATAAACATGGAAACTAACTATTATTACATATTAAAAAACTGACTGATTTCCAAGTTTGATATTGTATTAATCTTCATGCTAACGTACCAGGGCCTGCCCTTAGTAGACAGTTGAAATATTTTGTCTTGTTTTTTGGCATCAACTTCCCGAAAATACCAGATATAGAACTTGTTGGCCTAGAATATTATTTAAGGCTACTGTACAGTACAGTGTATGATATACAATTTAATTTTTGATTTACGGTGGAATTAAATCATATCAGGATTCAGATTAACTTCAATCATTGCTTGAGAGAAAGTTATTGTCTTACCATTTGATTTGATTTATTGCGATTCCATACAATAATGAATATACCATGCTCGTACTGTCTCAACATTATATTAAAAAAAACAACTCAAGATTAAAAATTGTTAAAATTGTTTGTATTAAAATTTGATATCAAATTTAAGGTTGAAAACTAGAATGAGGGAAAATATTCTTTATAAATCAACAGCAAGCATATAAATAATACTATATTCCTATAGTCTTTAATTGGCTTTTAGCCAATTTTCGGATTTACTTTACATAGTATCAGAAAGATATCTGGAAATCTTTGGCAATTAATTTTTTTTATACTGTCTTATATTATTGAAGATTGATAACATGTGACTTGCAGTCTTAAATTTATGAGATAACGAAATGAACAGAAGGAAATCATGTGAATGAATGTGGGCGTGTTTATATTTCTTTAAAATGTTAGCAGAACACAACAATCTGCTTTCAGTATTTTATTTTTAATTTCACTTGTGTACAGTTTTGAACAGGAATTACTGGAGTGGAAAATCTGTTGTCTCAGGTCAATGTTTAAGGTCAAATCTCAAGAAGAATATAGTGCAATTATAGTATAAATTATATGATTTTCAAACCCAAGGATACTTATAAATCAGAAAAAAAGTAATGCCAGTTTTCAACAGCCATTTTGAAAAACAAAATGGCCATCAACTTTCAAGCACACTATATTTTCAGAAACGTCAACTCATGTAAACTGGAATCATATAATTTATTTTCCAAAAATGATTTTGAATTTTATATGTTCATGTCATATTTTAGATGGAATTACCCATATGATTTTCAAACCCAAGGATACTTTTATATCAGAAAAAGGTATATGCCAATTTTTAATTTTTGCAGTCTTTAAAACAACATGCATACAACTTAATAACTATTATACAATCCTTTGTCAAAATGAACAATTGTTTGTTTTAATGATTGTTTCCTCTACTGGGAGTCAGGGAACCGATCATCTGCTGTACAGAACAATCCAGAAGGAAGTGATCATTCTCCTGAAGTTATTTTCATATTCATATTCATCAAATATGAATTGTAATAAAGTTTGTATTTAAATAGTTGAATCAACTTGTACAGATCTTTTATTCTACAGAAGAATATCTGAATAGCATTTTTTTTTTAAAGATTTGAATTTAAGATGTAATAGTTCATAATCAATGGCCAAGATTTATGGATGTTTGCCAAGATTTGAGTAACACAATGAACAATGAATATGATAAACACTGTACAAATACCGTAATACAGATTTGAAGAATTGCTCACCTGTCCATTCATGGAGTATTCTTTCTAACATTCCATCCATTAATTTTCTTATGCCTTCATTCTTCCATTATCCCTTTGGGTTCCATTTATCTACCGAATATAAGTTTTATTTATAATTTAAAAAAAAAACAAAACTTAAATTTCTAGGCTTTGGATTTTATCTATTAGGGTTATATTTTTAACCCTGAAATTTATCTATTTTTAGTAATTGTCAGTCACACACAGGATGGATATGAATGTGATGTTGAGTTGTATTATGAGACTTCAGGGATTGAAGGTTTTTAGAGTCGTGGGATCAAGTTCTGGCATTTCACAAGTTGATCGGCACTTTGATGTTCATGAGTCTTCAGATACATTTTCAAATAATCACTGTCGACTCTTCCCCGAAAACAGTCCTGTTACAGTAGGACACATTTAAGAAAAATAAGAGAAAATTTGAAAAAAATAAAATTAATTCCAGAATGAATGAATGAATAAACCTACACGTTTACACTAGACACGATTACGACACGACACAGATGTGCGCAGTGTTGAAGAATACAAACTACAAGATATGTCATTGTCGTTTCATTATCTTGTCTAGTGTAAATCCAGCTTAATGTGTAATTTGTGAAAAAAAAATGGTGTAGGACACATAAAGAAATATAAAGGAAAATTAAAAAAAATAAAAGTAAATTCAAGAATGAATGAATAATGTGGAATTCGTAAAATAAAATGGTATTAAAAATAAGGATTTACGCAATGGTCTGTCTCTAATATGTTGGATGTCATGACAAATATTTTAAAAGCTTTATGGTAATAGATTTGAGTATTTTATGCTTTGACTGACATTTCATCATGTTGATATACAGTATGTTGAGTATTGAATATTGCTACTTATGGTTTCAATCTTACATTCAACACCATGAAATATTCTATGTGAACTACTGTATACATGTATTCTGTAGTATTATGAATATTTATTATCGTCTTTTTGCCTAGGGAAAATTAAACCTTGTTTTTTATGAGTTCCCAGTTGACAAACAAAAGATAGAATGACAATTACAGTTTTATTTTATACATGATCAATATGCCCTAAAAATATGTTAGGCAAAAAATGATTTTACAGGCAACAGCATAAAATTGAATCCAGAGCAACAAACAATTTAGAAAATTAAAAACATCAAGTGAATAAAGCATATGGTTTGGTAATACGGTAGAAGTGCAAGATATTGATCAGAACATAGCAGATTAAGCATGGCTAGACCACTTCAGCATTTTATGATTGAGTTCATTCATGGATGGAGGAGGATCTGCATAAATGTTGCCAAATAGTGTGAGCTGGTTCATGGGTAGGGTGAGTGGTGATCAAGGGTAGGGTGAGCTGTGATCATGCATGGGTATGGTGAAGGGTGATTGTGGATAGGGTGAGCTATGATCAAGGATAGGGTGAGGGGTGATCACGGGTAGGGTGAGCTATGATCATGAGTAGGGTGAAAGGTGATCAAGGGTGGAATGAGCTGTGATCATGGGTAGGGTGTGCGATGGTTGTGGGTACAGTAGGGTGAGCTATAGTATGATCATGGGTAGGGTGAGGGGTGATCATGGTTAGGGTGAGCTATGATCATAGGTAGGGTGAGGGGTGATTGAGCTAAGATCCAGGAAGGAGCAGCATTGATTATGAGCTGTGATTATGGAAGGATGTAATGAAAGGCCAAGTAAAAATATAAATTATTTTCTTGTTCCCATTTAATCCTTATTAATTTGGCACCTAATTTGTTGAAATTGCTCATACATTATGTATGGGCATATTGATGTTATATATAATATCCTCCATTGGTAATGATGATACATACCAATTGATAAATCTAAATTATTTTTTACATAAAAATTTGATAATATTAAATAATACTCATATTGTTCCTTTGTCCTACCAGTACTCAATTCCCATT